CCCCGCGTATTGCTTTGCGACAACGGACGGAATCTGGTTTCTAACGAAATGATTAACGCGATAAATAGATGGGGGGCGGAAGCCTGGACCACACCTATTTATCATCCGCGCGCAAATCCGGTAGAACGAAAAAATCAGGAGCTAAAAAAAGGTCTCCGCGCCCTACTAGTAGAGGGCGACCATAGCACCTGGGACACTAAAATACCGTCGATACTATTTGCGTTGCGTAATCGTCGGAATGAAAAAACCGGTTATCCACCTTCCGTACTCGTTCTCGGCCGAGAAGAAAAACGACCTGGTGACTGGGCGGTCGTACATGTAAACACGGCGACTGCCGACAATGTAAACAATAGTCGCCCATCACCCAAACAGCAGGCCGGCGAAATTATAGATAACGTACCGACGAAACACGTAGTAAAACCTTATACGGTCGATGACGTGGTGTATTATAAAGCACACCACTTATCTAATAAACAAAACAAATTTTGTGCCGGCTTCGCGCCGAAGTGGTGGGGCCCTGTCAGACTAGCGGAAAAAGTAGGCAAAGGAGTGTTCCTGACAGATCAAAATCCCCCACGCAAACTTCACGTATTATGTTTAAAATTAAAATAGTTGCCATGTACTACAAATTACGGGCCGTCGTCGATGTATAGTAATGCTAACGGGCTGTTTTATTTTCAGCATGTCCTGTCGGAAATGTGGCGAGCGTGACGGCCTGGTGCGCGACCTCCTCCGCCGGTTGGCGGAGGCGCTCAACGTCCCGCTGGCCATCGTCCCGGCAATCCGTGCGACGGTCGAGGCAGCCCGGAGCGCACCGTTGCAACAGATCTTGAGGGACCCGATCGCAAATGCGTTCTACACCCGGGTGCGGCCACCCTTCGCGAAACCTGAAGGGCTATCGCCACCGTGCCGGAGATCCCACGGTCTGTGCCGGGGGAGGGTGGTGCCTCCCCTACACAGCGCCCGGGTATCGCTGCCGCGGCAGTGCAGCGACCGTCCAGCCCCGGCGCCCTACACCCGGGACAGGCTCGGCCACCCGGCCGCCACCGGCACACCCGGGGTACAGGAAGCTTACTCCCTCCGACGTACGTCGGAGGGAGCGCATCAATCGGGCCTTCAAGGAAAGGAAGGACCGGGAGAGGGAGGCGGCTATCCGCCCACCAACCGCACCGACGCCCCCGATGCCGGCGCCACGGACCCGTCTACCACCTCTCTCGGAGATCGTCCGGACCGCCAGCTCCGCCGTAACAACCGCCGCAGTTGGACCGGCTCCCATGGAGATCGAAGACGACCTGGGACACGCGGTGGAAGCCTTTCTGGCGGATGCTCCCTGTCCTCCTCCTTCTGACTCCCCTCCTGAAATTCCTCAAGCCGAGTAATCGGTCGAGGAGTTTCCTTCCTCTACTTCCTCGGTCCTTATGTCATCCGTAGGTTACGGATGACCGGACCGAATAGTACTTTCCCTCTTGCCAGCGAGACTGAAGGTTTCAGTCTAATACGGTAAGTCTTAAAACGCAATATCAGTGACCATCCACACGTACAAGGAACATGGCGGTAAGTCTACAATTGTTTATTACTTATAACTACTGTGTATGATGCGACTATTTGTTTACAAAAAAAAACCGGGCGGGTCAAGTGATAGACTGATGGCTTGGTGGGGGGAGTTGACACGGCACCGCGTGTCTTTTGCTCTAGGCTGGCGCTCATCCGTGTCTCTCTCGATATCAGCCGCCCAGCTATTAATATGACAATCGGTTGTCATCGGTTGTCTCCCCGCCCTTGACACTGAGATAAGGCCGCCGCCGAATATGGATTACCGATATTGCGTTCTGTTCCGTTTCCGACGTACACGATAACTGGTGTCTTTTTTTGGTTATATATATATATTTTCACTGCGTTGTTTTGTGCGACTTGACTGCGGTGTTCGATTATACCTAAATATAATTTGTTGCGCGAAAGTATATTTATGCGAATAATATAATATTATATATATTGGCTCTACATTGTTGTTTTGTGACTTGACCGCGATGATCAATTTTGTCAGTATATCTATATCATTAAATAAATATACTGTGCGGTTCTCAACTATATATATATTGGATACGCATTAAGTATGGCACATATTCTGAATAATTGTATTCAAAATGCAACAGACATTTTACCTTTTGATATTGAAGTGATTGTTGTAAAAATGTATAAAGACTTTTACATTTATACTGTTAGAGTTCATTAAAGGACTTTTGTGATACTGTAGAAGTTGAGTACAGAAATATGTTAACTTTTTCAAAAACAAAATTCTTAAGCCTGATGCCTGCAGGAGAACCAATTTTACAAATGTTTAAGCCAATAAAAGAATATTTTGCCTCAGTAGAATGTCATACAATCTTAAAAGATTCTTTGAAAATTCTCTTGGAGAAATTTGGTTCTGGTTTGTCCACAACAATTCATTTTTATTTCATCAAAGTATTTTAAATGTTGAATCTGATAAAATATGTGCCACTGAAGCGACATTAGAGTATTTTAAACTCATTGATACACTAACCCACAAAGAAAAAGAAATATTTTTACCAACCAGAGTGAAAGAATCATTATCCAAACTACAAAACAATTACCATGAAAATTTTTCACTTCAAGGTAAAGAATTTTATAATGAATGTATAAATTATTTGAATAAATGGTCAACAAATATGAATGTCTTAAAGTTATTCTCTTGGATATGTTTGCGAGACCAAATTACATGGAAATCAGTATTACTTTCTTGTGATACTTTTAAAATTTCAATTGGAGAATAACTAAATAAAGACTTACTTTTTGATGAAATAGGTCAAATTGTAATGTGGTTGGCTGATGACTGGATGATGTTTTTACAACTTTTTTTAGTGTTGATGTATCAATATATTGAATGTCTATTAGTTTATATATATAATAAAATTACTGTCTGTAATTGACCTTAGGTGGATTGTTTTATCGTTCTTCGCCTGTAAAGAGTAGCAGAAAACACCCGACCCGTCATTTATATATAAAGTTAATTAAGTTAACGTTTATGTAAAGTAAATGAAATAGTCACTCTGGAAATTAGGATTTCATTATCTTATTTTTATACCAACTATGCCACGTCACCACTCTGCCACGACACCCTGTGCTGGGGTTTTTTTTAATTAAAAACTAATAAAACATTTGTGTGAACGTATACACAAATAAAAAATTATATGCTGCAGCTTAAAGGATTTAAAAATTTGTTAATTATAAGAAAAACTATATTTACATAATAAATGTAATAATTTAAATATTGAACTATTGTAAATATTAAATGTTTTAAACAAAGAATATGTTTCACTAAACAAATTAAGAATAAATTATTAATTTAATTATAACTAAGTGACTAGTTAACATTTACAAATAAATTTAGAAGTACTCGCTAAATAAAATGTATTTAAATTAACAGTGATTTTATACAAGTAGATACAAATATTTACAAAACCATTGTACAAAAGTATACATTAAAAAATAATATTTTTTTTTGTTACTGAAACATTAAAATTATGTTTTATCTATTTATGAATTAATATTATTTATTAAACATTAAACCCAATGTATTCATTAACTATTTTGAAAAGAATAACTTGACTACAACTAAAAATATTATATTCTTTATTTATTAACTAAAACATACAAGTAAATCTTATAAAAAATATTTACTGACTGAAAGCTTAAATTTTTAATTAAGCTATTGCAGTAACTGTGGAGATACATTATGTAATAATAATGATTTTAATTCAGTTTAAAAACTTAACCACTGTATGTAAAAAAAAATTGCTCTTATTATAAATTTTAAGCTAAAAATTTCTTACTATTCCCTCTAATACTAACTCATTAAAAAAATTCAATAATAACTACATATATTTCATAATCCTATTTTATCTTTATAAATCAATAATTATGGTAAGATTTATTAAAATTTTAATCTACTTAAGTCTTAATCAATATTATAACTACGAGAACAATTAACATCAATAAATTTTATTACAACATTACGGCTAAATTTTAATATGAATAATAATCTATTCAAACATTTATTTTAAATGACTTAAATAATTAAAAATTAAAGCACAAGTAAGATTTAATTAAGATTATTTTTGTTTATTAATGTGTACGGTTTCAGCCAAAACAGAGGGCCTACTATTTACCCACTGCCCAGGGGACACACTGGAAAGTGACCTAGTAGCCAAGTAAGATAGTACTTGTTGACAGAGCTACTAGGTTTTGATAAAAAAAAAACAAATATTAATAAAAATGAGGGAAAAGTATAGAAAAAAAAACTCGAGAAATTGGCAGGTCTCCCATCATTCCCATCTTTATGACCGCGAAGTACCGTTGACCTTCCCTGAATGGCCCGATCACCACCGCCTTTTTTTAATCATCCGTAAATCATGAACATATTTATTCAAACTACTCAATATACCCTCAACTTATAAGTAAAGATAAATTATGATTAATTTAAAGTATGCATGTTATTATTTATCTGAGATTTCTCATTTTTTTATTTAAATTATAATTCAAGTAACTGTAACTGAAGTAACATATTGTTTATAAGGTGTATTAATTATAAATTATATCCAGTGTTTATTACTTATATGACATTTGTGTTTTAATAATGGAAGGAAATGATGATGAAAATTTATTTAATAATAATGATTTTATTGATATGAATTCGGTTTTAAGCAGTGATATTGAATGTGATTTTTTTTTCCAGAAGTTATTAATTCTTCTACGAGTTTACAAAGTGTAATTACTAAGATAATATTGTAAGTTATGATATTTAAATCTAAGTCGTCGCATAGTTGTTAATGAATTAAGATTATTTTGTTTTATTTAACAATACAATACATAGCCGCAAGCTGATAGTTTTTCTAAGCATATTTGAAAGAACTGAATAATTTTAAGTAAATTAGAAATAACATTTAGTCAATTTTAGATCAGATAATCAAAAATCTAATAAGATGTGGAGCAAAAGTTGTACTGATTATAATGCATTCAACAAAGATGAACCTGATGAGTTATTACTTAAAGTTACTGAATCTATGACTGATACATTGTCATTCGAACAGAACAATTATTTTGAAGGGTTGCGTGAATGTGTAAATCTACGGAGGAAACATATTGAGACTAGGGATCAGGATGATTAATAAAAATGAGGGAAAAGTATAGAAAAAAAAACTCGAGAAATTGGCAGGTCTCCCATCATTGGGTAAGGGTGAGTGGCCTTATGTCTTACACAAATTATAATTTACATATGTTTAAAAACGGTAGCACAGTGGGGTCGAGGCACAGTGTAAACAAGGCATAGATGGGACAAGTATAGATGATATTTGACAGTGATTAAAATCACTATCATAAGAAACGCTTCGATTCAAATCTGTAGATAGAGTTTCATTTAGAGAAATTGGTAGATTATTCCAAAAGATAAATCAACTATTATTTCTTTGATTATATCCTAATTAGTAGTTCTTTGATTTTAAAATATAACATATGAATAAATACTAATTATAATTATTAAATTTAGTATGAAAATAAAAAAGTAAAAAAATTTAATAAGTTTAATTTCTTATGTCTTATGACCTTTATTCTATGTCAATTAAATTATATAATATTCATGAAAGTCAATATATTCTCCTAATAAGATATTTTAAAATAAAATAAAGTACAAAACCTAGAATTTTAATAGAAAAATAGCATATTTTTGAATATGGTAGCCATTTGCGCATAGAAGNAATAAAATACAAAACCAAGGATTTTAACACAATAATAGCATATTTTTGAATACGGTATCCATTTGCGCATAGAAGATAGGTTCGCCGGGACAAATTTTTTTTTCATTTTATAGTACATAAAATAAGCTTTAATTTTATATATGTTTAAAGGACTCAGTTTTTTCGGAACTCTTTCAAAAGTTAAGTTGAAAAAGTTCTATTTTTTATACAATGTTTCAAGTTTTGAACGCCTCCTATATATGGGAAAATTGTACAATTTTAATAAAAAGTATGTCAAATGAAAGACGTACTTATAATGTATATAGAAAATAAAAATTTGTGCTGATAATTACATTTTTCGAAAAGTTATAGCACTTTTATGTTGAAAATTTAAAATCGAAAATTTTAACACAAAAATAGCGTTTTTTTAACTACGGCAGCCGTTTACATGCAAAAGATAAAGTGTTGGGACAAATTTTTTTTTTTTCCATTTTATAGTACATAAAATAAGCTTTAATTTGATATATGTTTGAAGGACGCAGTATTTCCGGAACATTTTCAAAAATTAAGTTGAAATAATTAATTTTTGTAAAAAAGTTTCCATTTTAAATCCTCCCCAATGAGTAGGTTAAGTGATAGATTTTCAAAAAAATGATATCAAATGAAAGGTAAATATTTAAGGTTTTAGTATAAAAAAAAATTATGTTGATTTGTTGATTTTTCAAAAAGTTATGGAAGTTTTAAGAAAAAAAAGTTAAAAAATTTCGAAAATTAGCGATTTTTAAATTAGTAATTTTTTTGCATATTTCCCCCATTTGCGGGGAACGAGGGAATTTTTTTCAATTTTTAAGTGTAATGTCTCCAACTAGATACGAATTGTGATATTTTGACGTATTTTTGAAAGAAATCGGTCCAGTGACAGCTGAGAAAAAGTGGCAACAGACAAAAAAAAAAAAAAAAAAAGCTAAAAACAGGCCATGTATAATATAATAACATTTTTCAATTATTTAATTAAAAATTTATAATTATTATTTTAAATATTTTAAAAGAGGTGCTAGATACACAAAATTAAAAAGGGGGGTTTCATGTTGATACTTGTCGTTAATTGTTTCGAGGAGTGACGGCCCACCACCGGCCATAGTTGTACCTCACATCACCATCATCATTGGCATCTCAACGTTTTATTTAAAAAAAAAAATGGAGGACAAAAAAAATACAAAAAAAAACGTGGTTTTCACCATAAAATACAGACAGACAACTTAGGCAACGCTTCAATAGTATAGTTGAGAAAAAAAAAATCTGTTGTCGCGTCATTTGTATAGTGGCCGCTGATCGTGACGCCGGGTGGTGGTGGTACCAACTTTGAACACGTTCATTGGGGGAAAATACAACAATATTGGTACAGGTGCACAGTGACAGTCAGCTGATGACGATAGGATGACAAATATCAGACCGGTTGACTAGTGGAGGTTATCACATACACAACTATTAAAATACTTTACACCTACTGCCCACACATCTAATTGATAAGATTTATTAAACAAAAACTTGTATAAATTCTGCAACATTATAAATGTGATTACAATATTAATCATATGACATTGAGGTATCAAACCTTACTAGGGCATGCATTTTAAAATATAGATACTGTTAGGGGCTTGTTTAATAGTTGAGGATCTTGGTCAAAACCAAGAATCGGAAGCTACCCGACGTCTGCCCAAATATCGTCCCTATCTCCTTAAATGAGTTTTAATTGACTGAGGGAGACACAGGCAATCGTGTACCTTAGTTCCAGGGGATAAATTATTAAATAAAATTAGACTATTGTTTTATGTCAACGACAAAGTAAAGTTATATTTTAGATGTTCAGTTATATGTAATGTACAATACGTCTGACCCGAATCCTAGTACAGTTGGTTAGTAGGTATATCCAAGTAAGACTGAGTTGGTTTTGGCTATGATGACAATTGGCGATAGACGGGTCGTTGAATATAACAAGTTAAATTATAAATAATATAAATAAGACGAAAGTAATAGCATTAAAATCTATGTTTAAAACGGCAAATGAAACACAACTGCTCTTTGTTAGTTCGACGTCGGTAGCTCCGGGCTACAGACGAGTAGAATTGTCACATCAGCATCTCCCTCTATGCTAATTAATATGTATTACGAATTAAATAAATAGAAATAAAACGTGTGTAATATAAGTGGTAAGAACATAGTAATAAATGTTCTTACAATACCTTAAATAAATATAAAATTTTTTTCTGAAAAAAAAATTGTAGCTGCTTTGTGAAATAAAATTTAGTTGTTTTCAACTCCCGTTTGCTCAACCAAATATCAAAAATTGTCAGAGACATCACATCAAAATATTTGCACTTATCTACGGTAAAATAAAAATGTATTCATAAATATTCTTATTTCTTATTAAGCGAGCATATGTATTTACTAAGAATATTGCCTGTGTAAGGTTTCAGCTGAACCAGAGGGCCTACTATTTACCCGCTACCCAGGGGGAATACTGGACAGTGACCTAGTAACCGAGCCAAGCAAGATAGTACTTGTTATGATGTTTATGAAATGAAATCATCCACGCAAGACTAATGACATTTTTTCAATGCTATTTTTTTAATCCATTTTAAACAAATCAATTTTGACAATAAACAAAACTTAAGAAATTGTTTAAAACAACTGAAAAAAAAAAAAAACTTGCGCAATTATTTTTTTCGAGCCAGGCGACAAGGCCTGGTAAAGACAATTAGTTCTTATCAGCCGTTTCCATCACCAATCTGTTGTGCCGGCTCTTGCCAAAAAAAAAAACAGTTGTTATTCCTATCTTCTTTTTTTCTGCGATCAGTTACGCAGCGTAAATTAAGTGCAGCCTTTGAGTTTGTTGCCTGATATAATTATTCTCGTTTTGTTATAACTAAAAATATCGGTGACCGAGAATATTGTTTGTTCGGCGGTATAATATTGTTTTTTTTTTTTGAAATTACGGTTTTAGTTCACGTTATTGAGGATTAGCGTGTAATTGTCCAAGCTGATGCGTATCGTATTGTAGCGACCTACCGAACATTTAAAAGCGTCTCGAGTCAAACACGAATGGAAGAAAACAATCAACAGGTCGGATCGGTTAAAAATATTTATTGTATATATATATATAATTTGTTTGTGTGAAACATTGTTCAAGTATGGGGACGCCCGTTTAATTGAAATGAATATTATTATATTATTAATTAATAGCTTAATTAATAGTAAAAAAGGGGTATTATATAATCTCTGGGTGATCGGCCGGCGGTAGTTGTAACAATTTTAAAAATAAAATATACACTCTAAGATAAAAATANTAGCTTAATTAATAGTAAAAAAGAGGTATTATATAATCTCTGGGTGATCGGCCGGCGGTAGTTGTAACAATTTTAAAAATAAAATATACACTCTAAGATAAAAATACAAAATTTTTGACATTATCACATATCTGTGACATTATTATGGAAACAGATGTGTTCAAGTAGAATGGTATTCCACATGTTAGAGATATTTAGGTTTTGATATCTCTCGAAAATAGTTTGTAAATTTTTAATTACAGGGAATATGTTACAAGTTAAATCAAAGTTTTGTTTAGATAACATTTTGATAAGGATACAATGCCTCAATATTTCCAATGAATCCGTACATCGGTTTATTCTGGTTTGTGTATTTATAAATGATTACTCACAACATGTGTTGAAGGTTGAGCGGGAATATTATTAAATTAATAAAAATTATTCATATGCTCAGAGTTTTTTTAGTTGTTATAATTTATTATTTATTAATTAAGTCGTTAAGTAGTTAACTCGTTGGCCCGTAATTTGGCATGTTTTTATTTGTTATTGGTTGGTTTGTATCGGCCTGTTTAGGCGATAGCCAACAGTTTCTCTCATCCGCACAGTGAAATGAAACGCCGATTTAGGCGGCCAAAAGTATCACATAAAACAATAATGAACGAAAAATACTAGTATTATTGTGATAAAAGCGTCGTGCGCTCAATATACGAAAAATTAGTTCAATGTGCTTTAAAAGCGTGTTTTTTAGTTTTTTTAAACTATATTTATTTTTTACTTTTAGCTTCGATGCGAAGCTGAGAAGGTATTGGTTTTACTAAGATGTGTTTTTTTTTTTGTGTCTGTTACCACTTTTTCTCAGCTCTCACCGAACCAATTTCTTTTAATGATACGTCAAAAGATCACAAATTGTATCTAGTCGAAGACATTACCCTCAAAAATTGGAAAAAATGCCCTCGTTCCCCGTAAATGGGGGAAACCTCCAAAAAAATTACAAATTTAAAAATCGCTAATTTTCGAAAATTTTTCAATTTTTTTTACTAAAAACTGCCATAACTTTTTCAAAAATGAACATATCAATATAATTATTTTTTATATAGATGTGTAATATCATTACCTTTTGTTTGGTATATTTTTTTCATAAATTTAACCCTTAACCTGCCCACAAGGGGGGATTTAAAATGACAACTTTTTCACAAAAAATTAACTTTTNACAGACATCAAATTTTATAAAAAAAAATACGATTTTTGTAAAAAAATTCATTTTTATATTTTTAACTTTATAATGCTATAACTTTTTGAAAGATGTATGGATCAATATAATTTTTTTTTTATAGATGCATGATGTCTTTACCTATCATTTGGTACATATTTTTTTATATCTGCCCCGTTACCTGNACATATTTTTTTATATCTGACCCGTTACCTGCCCACAGGGGGGGATTTAAAATGACCAATTTTTCACAAAAAATTTACTTTTTCAACTTAAATTTTGAAAGTGTTCCGGAAAGTCTGACACTTTTATATATATCTTAAATTAAAGCTAATGTAATATACTTTATTATGGAAAAAAAAAATTTCGGACTTTATTTTATCTTCACGGTGAAAATGGCTACCGAATGCTATTATTGCGTGAAAATTCTCGATTTTATTTTTTACATTTTTAACTTTATAATGCTATGACATATTGAAAAGTGTATGGATCAACATTATTTTTTTATGAGAAATAATATTTTTTAATAATCCCTTTTTCATTCTACATACTTTATCTTAATTAGGATATTTATAATGAACTAGCAGATCATGTAGCTTTTGGAATAGTCCACCAATTTTTTAAAATTAAACAGTATCTAAAGATTTGCATCGAAGCGTTTTTTTTTTATAGTGATTTTAATCACTGTCAGATATCATTATACTTGATCCAACTATGCCACGTCACCACTGTGCCGCGACCCCCCTGTGCTGGGTTTTTAGTTTTATGTTATGATAGTAGTTACTATCAATATCATGGTTGTAACGGGTAACGGGAATACAGAGTTCGATTCCGGGGAGGGAGTCTGAGAAACGGCTACCACATCCAAGGAAAGCAGCAGGCGCATAAATTACTCACTCTCGGAACGTGGAGGTAGTGACGAAAAATGACGATACGGAAATGATCCCTCGTAATCGGAATGAATACCTCTTTTTATATCTCTTAATAAGAATAAAGCGTGTTAATATATAAATTTTAATAGTAATTAGAATATATATATATATATATATATACAAATAATGCACTTAAGTACGTAAACGTATCATGCACTAGGTATAGCCGTGTTTTGTGGACGTGGGGAACGTTATACCTAAGGTATAAACGGCGGCAGCGGCGGTAGGAATATATAAATATATATACGTAAGGCGCATTACACGCGGGCGGTACTGGTCAGTCAAAATAAAAATTTGTTTATATATATATAATTGATGACAAGCACGCGTGTACGGGTACGATAACCAAAAATAAATTTATACATAACAGGAATAGTGTTGTCATCGTGTGGTGAGTGAGACGTGGGGTGGGGTAATTGCGTTATGACAGTCTAGTCTCAAGGCCATAGATGACGGAATATGCGATATCGCATGGCGGTTGGAGAGTTACAAACATACATACATACAGGTGAAACTAATATAAGCGTGTTAATTACACAATATTACACGTTAATCCATACATGTAGCTAAAAGTTGTCATTTTAAATCCCCCCTGTGGGCGGGTTGGGTATAAATCTGATCCTTTATCAGAATTATAAAAAAAATATACCATATGATAGATAAAGATATTATGCATCTATAAAAAAAAGAATTATATTGATTTGGTTATTTTTAAAAAAGTTATAATAATTTTAAATAAAAAAACGGTAGCACAGTGGGGTCGCGGCATAGTGGAGACATTGCATAGTTGGGTTCAGTCTAGATTTAATCTGACAGTGATTAAAATCACTATCATAAGAAACGCTTCGATGCAAATCTGTAGATAGTGTTTAATTTTAAAAAATTGTTGGATAATTGCAAAAGCAACATCAACTTCTATTAAAATAAAATACAAAACCCATAATTTTCATACAAAAATAGCATATTTTTGAATATGGTAGCCATTTGCGTATAGAAGATAGGTCGTCGGGACAAATTTTTTTTTTTCATTTTGTAGTACATAAAATAAGCTTTAATTTTATATATGTTTAAAGGACGCAGTATTTCCGGAACA